ATTCACACTGAATAATTTCATTGTTCAGCCAGGTTTTAATTTGGGCCACAGCTCCTATATGGAGAAATAGCGTAAAGGTATAGGACTGACAGCTACATGGCAGATCTTGACAAGAACCTACATAGGTAATGCAAATCCTTACTCTGAAGACTTTGGTTAAAGAGTCAGAGGTAGTTTTGGTTTTTATCTTTCAGGCCACTTTTTTTAAAAAATAAGTCAAGGCATCCAAATAAATCCTGACATTTAGAAATACATTTAACACTTCAAAGCTAAATGAATGCCAAAAATTAAAAGCCAAAGGTCCTCAAAGCAACACCATAAACACCATATTTGGATTTTCAGGGAAATGTGTTATTAGGACTACTGAAAGGAATGCTTTCATTCTAGGGTTCTGAGTAGCCACCCTAGACAGCCACTAGGTTAGTTCAGGCCAAGTACACACCCACTTTCCTTTACTAACATACCTGCTCTTCCCTAATGAATGCTACTAGAAGGGGTTGGAAGGGTGCTTTCAACCAGTTGTCATGAATGAACTCTCCATCAGTCTAACTTAGCTAGAGCACTCCCAGCTGCACCCCTCAGTTCTACAACTTAGAACTATCACCACAAACATGTACTCCTCCTAGGAAAAGTGTGCCACTGCAACTCCCAACATCTTGCATTTAACCACAGTGAATTTCCTCATGTAGCCGGGTAAATCACAAAAATCTTCAGAGGGATCATACATCCACTCTGATCAGTGTCATCATGGAGGAAAACATGGCAAAATGATGATAGGTTTTAAACTAGCTTCTCAACAATAAAAAGTAATCAAGCTATAAAATAGTTTCTTTTTTCCTTTAAACTTTCATTCTTTAAGCATGACTGTTACCATTCCCAAAGGCACCCACACAGAACATAATAAACTGCCTTAACCTGTGATATAACATCAGACTTTAACACCTCCAATGCTGAAATGCCCTGGTAATCAACTGGTTCAAAAGGTTACAATGTTTCAAAACCATGTCACAAAAAAAGATCTGCCACACAACACCAAAGTGGTGGTGCACTCCTGTAACCTGAGTTTATAATCTCAGCTGGAGAATTCCAAATCTGAGACCAACCTGGGCTAAAATGCAAGACCCTAACTCAAAAAAAAAAAAAAAAAAAAAATCCATAGAGAAAACATTACATATTCTGGTGTCTCTATAATTTAGTATTCATAGTCAGGTTCCAATTTCTAGCAGGAGTCATGAATAAAATCATTCGGCAAATATTTATCAAACACATTCTCAGGTAGAGCTGGAAGTTGCAATTTAATAGCAAAAAATATAGATGAACTCTCACCCTCACAAGCTTCCAATGTAAAACAGGAAAAAAAATCTAGAAATATATATGTAATTCAGTTCAGAAGGTTAATAATATATATATATATATATATATATATATTCCATTTAAGACTACCCTAAACATAAGCCTATTTTCAATAGGTAGAATCCAAACAACGAAAAAGGTTGCTAACTCTTCCAGTTGATGATTATGATCTACAGAGCAAAGATTTCAAATACATGCAAAATAATAACAGACTAATGGGAAAAAAGTATTTTCAAGGAATTGAAAACAATGGATGATGAGTATCTATGATATGAAGCAGACATTCAAGGACACTAGTTTTAGAAAGATTTAAACAAAAGCTAATACTAAATGATATAACCTATATTTCATCAATACAAATATTTAATAAGTACTAATAATTATAAATTGCAGGAAACAATGTACATCTAGAAAACACAAAGTTAAAGCAATGAGGTATGCTTTGGTATATCTGTGTAAAATAGTTTTCTTTGAGATGTCAAAGAAGAAGCACTAATACAAATGAATTCAGGAAACACGTTAAAGGCAACAAGAACCCAGAATTTAATGATACGCTTACGGTAATATGTGTAATAATTCATCTTTTAAAAAACAATGAGGATTCAATCATATGCCCAATCTAGCATATATCTGTTAATCTGAGCAACAGATTTGATGATAAAAGTAGACAATATCAATCATTGATAATCAGCTATTCTTGTTTTGAAAATCTGTAACATATGTATTGTTGTATGTTACCCTGTTTCTGTTTTTCTTCTTGCTTTTGT